GGGGGGGGGTCTGAATTGAGCGATCAATTATTAGACCCGGACGTCCCAACACTTGCTTCGCAAGACAAACTCAAGGTATCCCCTAAAGGGCTACCTTTCGTGACTAGGTGCACCTCGCAGCATTCACCCGGCGGCTATCACTCAGTCAGCCCAGATGCCACTAGTTGCAGCCCGGTCTGCTAGGACATTGTCAGAATCGCAGCACGGTCTAGACTCCAGGGACCAACCCTTATCAGTCTCTGCATCTGCTGGTCTCAAGAGAGCTCAGTTAATTAATATGAATCAATTGCATGGGTGATGGCCTGTATACAGCAACCAGAATCTACCCCACGACCCCTGACCAACACGAAGTTCATCTCAAACTATCTCCTTTTGTCTGCATGAACTCCCCCATTGCTTCCAACATGTTTGGTTTCTGCAGCTCGCCGTTCACATTGAATATATATATATATACAAATACACAGTTGATTCTGTTGCACCTGTTGCACATCAATTTCAGAATGCACAATATGCAGTAAGATTTTGTTCGCGGGGGTATGTCAAGAATCTGCGACAAACCGAAAAGAGGTGCATTCGCCGAGGCACATAGAAGTTTACCCGGCGTTTGCCTCCAAATGCCTGCCGCGAGCGCCACACCAGCCCATCCAACAAAGTCCAAAGCAATTTTGGAGCCGAAATGCCTCAGCAGAGTTTGAGGAAGGGAAGTCTCTGGTGGAGACCGTGAAGAAGTTCGGGGTAGATTAGAAAGTAAGTCGTACAAGGGGGAGTCTTCAAGAGGGCGGGAGAAGTTCGCTCTGTATGAATCTCAGCGAAACCCTCTCCCTCTCGCTCTCTCGCTCTCTGTCTCTGTGTCTCTGTCTCTCTGTCTCTGTCTCTGTCTCTGTCTCCATCTATCTATCTATCTATCTATCTGTCTATCTGTCTATCTGTCTATCTGTCTATCTATCTATCTATCTATCGATCTATCGATCGATCGATCAATCTATCTATCTCTATCTATCTATCTCTATCTATCTATCGAATCGAATCGAATCGAATCTAATCTAATCTAATCTAATCTAATCTATATAATCTAATCTAATCGAATCGATCTATCTATCCTAATCTATCTATCTATCTATCTATCTATCTCTGGCGGGCATGACTCGTCCCTGAGTCGTCTGACAGAGACGCCCAACTGCAACTGTAACTTCCCCGAAAAGCCGGAGACCAAGGGGGCAAGACGGACCCAACATGGGAGACTAAGAGCGAAAATGCAAACATCTGCCGTAGCAGAGACAAGACGAAAAAGGCTGTGCAGGCATCCGCAAAATCTCTCTCTCTCTCTCTCTTGGGGTGCTGACACGGAGATGCTGAAAACGTCTATGCTGTACACTGCCCGGATGCAACTCAAGGTGGACAAAGGGGTACAGTGGTTTGCTGCTCAGTCTAAGTACGTCAAAGTATGAGACGTTTACATGACCGAACAGCATGCCATGATGTATATTATATAAGTGGGGTTCCTGTGTGACTGGGCGCTTTACCTGAATGATACTGATTGATACAATTCTGCATTCCACGAAACATAGGCGTTGGATCACTTCTGGATGCCGTGCGAAGAGCTCATCCGCACCAAAATAGTACTTGTCTCCTTGAAGTCTTTAGTTGAAAGCACCCCAACATGACAATGTCTGTAGACCTACAAAGCCTTGCTGCATTGCTTGTTCCCAAAGTTCTTCTCTGGCTACTTTCGGCTCAAATGCGTTAAATTGAACCAGGTTGAGACAGGATAGCTAGTGCAAAGCCGAGTCTCGATCAGCGCGAATGGTCAGTAGATCTTCAATCATCGCTTTCGCACATTCCAGGCTTCCACTGTCTATGGCCCAATAAAACGGTGATATTGACTGAGTGCCCACCGTGATGTTGAGCAACTCTGTTGCCCGCTTGCTACGTGGGGCAATGGCGATTGCTTTTCTAAGCGCCCTGGCTGAATTGGTGTTGATGGCCTTCATGACCTCAAATGCAGTGATAATCAAACAAAGATTCACATGAATGGCTTGCAGCTCGCAGCGCGCTCGCAGCTCGAAGTAAGAACTTGATCGAGCGACAATTGTACTGCCTTCCAGAATTGTGCGGACCAAAATCTTGGAGACCAACGTCCTAAGAGTGTCTGAAGCGTCACGGCACATCCTATAGGCAAGCCGAAGCATTTCTAGTGCTTAGTGTGTGACTTGAGCAATCTGGATCGAGGTATGCAATATGTGAAACCAAGAATGCCCAATAATATTTACTACATTGTAAACAGCAACTTTCTCTCATATCTCCCAGCCGCCTAGCCACCTCTAAATGTGTGCCCCTTCCAAGTCTTCTCTAAATCTAAGATCGGTTTCTTGCAGCGGGTTCTCCTCTAGATCGAGGGGTGCTACCAGTCAGTCACCCCACACGGGATGCCAAATGCCGGTCTCTCCAAGCTTCAGAGACCAGCGGAATGCACCTTCAGCCATGTCATCTGAAGTCTTCTCTCGCACGGTCTCCACAGCGCTGGAGACGAAAGGGGCAAAGAGCTCTGTAGGGATGGCGTAACCCACATGTCGCAGCCCGAGTGCGGAAATGTCCTTTCAGCTCTGGGCCATTGCAACTGCGAAATTTGCTAGTCCCTTTCACAGGTTCAACCTATGGTGACTCTTCTGTTTGCACAGCAAGATTTGGTCATGGAGTAATGCAAGTCAATACAAGTTAAGATAAGTGCCTCCACCATAGCACGAGGTTGCTGGTACATTTCCATGGTCATCTCGATGATCTTGTCAGCAATAAAGTAAAGTCTGGTGGTCGATTGCTTGAAATGATCTTGTCCAGCTGGTGCGATCTGGAAAAACCTCCACATAGCACGCATCAAGCCAATAGCATTGCAAACTGGACTAAATCCATCCAACAGCTTTGCATAGCGAAGGAAAAAACGGTGTATACGTCGCATGCTAGCACAAGGATACATAAGCTGTCGCCTCACAAGGCATGCATTGATGGCGTACAAACTGAAATCCTAAAGTTTAAAAGAGAGGTTGGCTCTTTATGCTACGATTGGCTCAGCGCAGGTCCATCTGTCCGTGATTTCTTAGTGTCCGGAGTGATGTGCATAATATGTGAATATGTGCTCATTCAAGTGAAGAAAATGTGAAGAATGTGTGAACATGTGTTATATGTTTTGAAAACAAGCACCTCAATAGTATTCAACAAAGCCCCCTTCAAGTCTACAACGCCTTAGGCCGAGTGCATCTAGAGTGGACATCACATCATGAGGCGTCACTGACACTAAAATCGTGCCTCTGGTAGATGTTCCGCCGCAGGTTGTAGATATCATCCTGTGTAAGTGAGGCGATGAAGCGACCCAAGGCCTTTTCTTGCTGCGCTGGCTTGCCCAGGTTGGCCTTGATCATGCGCTCTACGTTCCTGAGATTGCGACTGCGGCCGGGAAGAATGGAGATACTGCGAGATCCCTGAACAGAACCGCTTGAACGCGGTAGCACAACAGGGTCACCCCAACAATTTAGGCAAGGCTCTCCCACAACCAGTTCCAGGCAACCTCATGATCTGAATCCCACTCTTTGGGCACCAGGGACCGCAGCGAGGCTAGCATCACGGCCTCAAACAAAACTCAACCACTGACATCGCAAAAACAAAACGGTGTCTATGCTATTCATTACTGCGACCCACGTTCTCACAAAAGAATTATGCTCCTAGGTCTTAACCCTAGCCGTTGTCACACATGATGGATGCAACAAAAAAGGACAGCGACAGCTCAGCTTCCGAATAGTTGTGCAGACGCCTTGAATTCCGATAGTTGAATCTGCCCTGGCTGCTTGTCCAGAACCAAGGTCAAAACATCGCATTCTTCTTGCCTCAGAGCGCGCTCTTGCGCAGCGTTTTGCTCTACATCAAACCCTTTGATAGAGTTCCTCTCTCGTGCGAAGTTCAAACGCCAGAATCGAGGATCAGGACAAGCTGCAGGCGGTAGGAGTTCGCCACATTGGTCACAATGTTGTGGAACTGCTCAAGGATCACCTGACCAAGGGCAGAGTTAAGAGTGAGTCTCCAGAGAATCTCTGCAAGGCTCTTTATCAGACCTGCAACAACGCTGACCCTTAACAGTTAAGCAGGAAAAACTTTTGCACGGTTTGTTGCTTCAGGATTTTGCAAGCTCTCAAGCTCTGCTCTGGCAGAAAGAGCTTGTTCAACTCTTGGGTTTCATGGAGAAAATGCAAACAGCACAGCAACTTCATGTTCCTTTATCCTGTCCAAGTTGCAGACATCCAGCCGTTCTCTCCCAACCCCATCACTGCAGCATTGAAGAGGAACATCTCATTGAATGTGGTAGGCACCTGCACTCTACAAAAGAAAAATTCTCATAATTTAGCATGAACCGATGTCAAACAGGAATTGCCAAAAACCACTTCAGGCCAATAGGGGGACGAAAGGTCGCTGGGCATGGGAGAGACAAGTTGGTATTGGAGGTCCTATCCTAGCGGGCATTTCACAACACATCTACAACTTACCACATCGCATATCGTCACATTAAACATTGCCACATCACAAATTCCTGGGCCACACTTCACTACAACACAAGTCGCCACCTGCCACCGCACCACTACGTGCCACTTCGTTCTAAAGTAGCAAGGAAAACTCAAGTCAAGTAGCCAATCTACATGTTTGTGAAATAGTCAAACAGGCCGACTGTCATTGAATCCAAATAGAAGCAGCAAGATGTGCACCCGAGACAGTCAAAGAATCATTCTACGCAGGCCTTCACATTGTTCTTGCCTTTGCTGTCACCACCGGCCATCATGGTTGTGTTGACTCCACCTGTGGCCGGATTTGTGTCCTTCTTTTGTGTGGTCGCAGTCTGGGCCTCGGCGGCGAGAAGAGGAAGTCCACACCACTATACCAGTTCTTTCCGAGGCATTCTCTTGACTGCACGTTTCGTTTTAGATCCCTTGTTCCAGCCTGCCCCTCTGCAGTAACACTGGTGGTGTTGCCCTCACCAGTCTGCGTCTCGTGCAAAGCCTTCACATGAGGATCCTGCCCGCGTGAGTAGCACGTCACACTCAGGACATCGGAGCACAATAGGCTACGCTCACACAGGCCAACAGCTCCCCCACCGATGCCCAAGGCACCTCCTCTTCCTCTTCTACCTTGTTGGCAGTTCTCCAGCTGCGCTGGATGATTCTGATGCGGGATGCATACTCACGACGGATGTAGATGAATGCTCCTCCAGCATAGTTTAGAAGGACCTCCATGAGCAGGCTGAAGCAATGGTTTAATGGTTTGGAGAAACAGGTCTGGACGTCATTGCTTACGGGCACGCGCACACGCACACACACACAAACATAAGGCTAAGTATGCACATCTAAATGTAACAACATGTTCTTCACAAATGGATACCAATGGTTGTGGTGTGTGCTTGTTAAGGTGCAAATGCAAGATCTCTCAACTCTCATCATGCCAGCACCCAGCACTTGCAAGAGCCTGGAGTCCAATCTTGGCTTTCGTGGTGAGTCGTTGGCCCATCTCCTCAATTGACCAGTTGAGCTCATTGACGGGCTATGGGATCTACGGATGGACTGGTCGTAGAATCATAGAGCCCAGATTCGTGGAACTAACAGTGACGAGTGGAAGGAACAGCATGGATGGGCATTGTGAGTTCCTCACAGATGGCTTCATCCCATTAAACCTCTGTCCGAATTCTTGCCATGTCACCATGTCAAACAAGTCCACGATTGCATCGCGAAAAATACCCACCCGCGGGACTGTGACTTCCAAGTCCAAATGCTGAAAGCCCAAGCTCCTTGGCTCATGGGTGCTCATGGCAAATCTTTGCAAAATTCAACAACACAAGGATAGGTTCGGTGGCCGCTCTCCTTCTTGTCAGGTTGTTCAAGAGACATCTACGGTTGCAAACGTTTGACAGAAACACCAGGAAACACATGGATGGCCAACACTGCCGGGTCGCTCTACCTGGTTCTTCAGCTGTTTAGCGTCCTGAGCTGATGCCACAATGCTTGTCAGGCCGTTCCTTGGTGGGAAGCAACATTCAAGCCATCAAGCCGCTGGCACTGCAATGCCAAAGGCGTCCAACGGCGCCAAGTGTAATTACTGCGCATACTTCTGTGCTACTTCGCTTCACTCATGTGCCAGGAGGCCATCGCTATTAGGTTGGAGGCCATCGCTATTATTAGGTTGGAGGCCGTCGCTACTAGGTTGGAGGCCATTGCTATTAGATGGGAGGCCACACTAGTAGGTTGGAGGCCATCGCTATTAGGTTGGATGCCATCGCTACTAGGTTGGAGGCTGACAGCGTCAAAGCGCGCAAAGTAGCGTGCACTGCAGCCAAAACTCATGAAGCGCATTGCCATTACGGACCTGAAAGCAGTGACCAGGTCCATCAAACCCCATGTTCATTGATTTGATCCTGGAGTTCCGAAGTGTTACAGGCAATTAAGCTCAGCTCAGCTCTTGTTCTGATCGGAGCTGAGAGCCCAGCCGAGCGGTCTTGAACAAGCTCTGCAGGCTCGGCGCGGCATCAAAGACTGCCGCGTAAATGGCTTCGCCGGCAGCGTCGCCTGACGGGTGGCCGAACGGCAAATCAGGCCACTCTCAACCATTCGGCCTGACCAACAAATTGCCGAATTTGCCCAGTGACGTCCATTCAGCTGCCCCACGAAAAAGTGCCACGCTTCTTGTGCTTCGGCCATGATGGCTTGAGGAAACGGCGCCTCACAGGGCACACAAACCTCAATGTCGAAAGTGCCCTCAGGCTATTTCATTCATGCAAGGGATGCGTGCGCATTCAAAACCACTACCACATGCCTCTTCAAACGTTGCTTCATTGACCTCCATGTATTTCTGGACGTATCGGTCTGCTTCAAATTCGGCCTGGGATGCTTAGTCGAGACAGTTGCGCGTGTTGGCCTATCATCAAAAGCTCTGCCAATGCTAAGCTGCCGTGAGCTCATTGGGAATCTCCTCATTTGCAACGCCATCTTCCGCCTCTGTGTCGATCTCTTCGATAGCTTCATCTTCCTGCCCATGATTTACTTTCAGTATGTTGAACACTGCAAGCCTTCATACAGTTAGCGGAAAAGTCAAAGCTTCGGACCCTCGAAAAATGACCAATGTTCTGCATCATGCAGGATCACAGCCAACAGCAAGAAGGGAAGGCACGGAGCACTGTTATCTGCGTAGAGAAGCAACTCAAGGGGGTCCCGAATTCTCTCAACTGAAAGCGAAACAGGGCATTGACAAAAGTGACAGAACCATAAGGCGGATAAATTTTAGGTGGTACAGGTTTGAAGCGGTAACCCAAAGCTTGTTTCGATCAAACGACATCTTCAGCATATGATTTGAATATACTGAGGATTTCCTTGTAGTCATAGTTTGGGATGTTGTGAAACGTGGTCACTGTGGGTTAACACTGGTTCTCATGTAACTGTAAGATTGGGCAACAATACCAGGCCTCAACAACGAGCCTGCTAGAAAACACGAAAGTCTTCCAGAAACGACCGCAAGCTGATCTTCCTAGATGTTTGGAATACCTAAACTTTCCAACTGTCTCCTGTATTCCATTCATTCTTGCTTACTGCTTACCATATGATGTCGTATGAGCAGAGTCTTCTTCCGATGTCGTGCCTCCACTTCCTCCGTCTCCCCGTGGTCATCGGAAGAGTCAGACATGGCAACAGCGAGTTGGAGGCTCGGGTGTTTGCCCGGTAGCTTCCCTTGCTGTCCGGTATCAGCCAAACTGCAACGGGCAAAGTATCACGCTGTCGGAATACTCGATGAAGTTCAACGATGTTTTTTTAAGCCCACTCCGCTCCTCCCTACTTAATCAAGTTAGGGAGAGGTAGGTACTACCTGCAAGTAGCTACTAGTTACTAGCATGGACGCAGGATAGCTCACACTTCTTCAAGGAAGCTCCCCCCGCCCGCCCTAAAGGCGGCGGGGAAGCTTCCTTGAAGAAGCGCTCGCACATGCTCGCACTAATCATAATGATGTGGTTCCTCTATTTTTAGAGAACTTTACTGTGCTCATTACTAACACATTGGCTCAACAATTCCTATTTCAACAGCATTGCAGCAGTTTGATAAACATACCATGCGATCAAGCCAACCCCGCTTATTTCCAACTTGTGAAACGGAAAAGGATGTGGCCTTGTTGGCCAGCCCTCTCGAAAACGTTCATTGAGGAGGACGTCCATCCCCCACTTCATGTCTGGGCTTGACAGGCCGGAATTTGTGCGGCCTGGTGTTTGGCATGCAAAGCTGTCGCAAACTTTTCTCAAGTGTAAAGGCTTTACATAGTTCCCATCACAGGGCCTATGTTGTTCACCTGCACTGAACTTGCATGCCAGAGTTTCCCTGTCCTGTGCCAAATGTTACACCAAGAATGGTGCATGATAACACGCTGGCATCTGGAACTGACTGAGGGTTCCAAGTGTGCTAGCTGCTAGCTACGAGATGCTACGAGCGGCCACGGCACTTGCCCATTGATCTTCTGAGCAAGCGGCAAGCGGACCCCTCCAGCATACACACGTTGGTGGCTTTGATGATAGCTTGTGGCAAGAATTCTTCCATGCTGGAGAATCAAGACCGCATTGCGGGGGTTCTTTGCCAAGCCGAAGCCTGCACTAATTCACGCCATTGGCAACTGCCAGTGCGTTCAAGCTGGAGCGGCTAATTTAGGACATTCTAAAGCAAACTGACAGACTTGTCCATTCCACTGTTTATTGGCTGACAACATTGCAAATTGCACTACAAATCGGCATGACCGAGCAAACCATTCTGTCTTAGTGAGGCTGAGTCGAAGCCCAGGAGCTCCAAAACAAAAGCACGCACTTTCTGGCGCACTACATTCCGTTCCTGACAGCTGGTGGTTGATTGAACATAAATGCTCAATCACATACTTGAAGAAGAAAGAACTGGGTCAAAGTGACTGGCGATTCCTGGCGCGACATGGCGCGACATGATATTCCTTTCATGATCCTCCAACATGCAGTGGTCAAGAAAAACAGATCTACGACCAAATTTGCAGCCTTAATGATTATATATACATTGGAACACATTGATATGATTCATGAGTTGAGCCAGTTGCATTTGAGGCCAACATGCTGAAGAATTCAATGGCTAAGCGGCTAAACCTCTGAGAGTCGAAAGGATCCCTCCAAGCACGCTCTCGGGCGCGCGGTGCACCTTACGAGGAGGCATCGGAGGAGCCGTTGTCACTGGTAGCCACTGCGGATGACGCGCCACTCACGCCACTAGTGCCCCCGCGATGATTACCACCTGGGCGTGTTGCAGTGTGCATGGCAAGCCTCCGATCCTAGAATTTCCGACAGCCACAAGAGACATGAGTCATGAGTGAAACACGCCTCGTCCCTTTCCCAGGTTTTTCGTGGTGCGGATGATCAATTTTTCCTTGGGACGTCAAGCTGACACTGTCACATCTTGTGCTGCATGCAAATCGCGCCATCAAGTCTCCAGTTTTTCGAACTTGTCTTCTGCACCGTAGTCACCTGGAGAGCAATGAGCAACTTGTGGCTAGGTTGCTCCATCGGAGTAGCCAAGCCAAGCAACGAAACTTGCTCAAGTTTTCAAGCTTATCACAGTTTAGACAATCTCTCAGCTCTGGTGGGTGTTTCTTCGAAGAACATGTGGTGAAAACCGGCTGAAGTCGACTTCACCACCTGGTTCTTCAGGCCAAGGCATGCTAGGAGCTGTGGAGCCCCCATAGCGGCGGATGGATTCCACGCTGGTGGGCTTAAGATTCCCGGGCTCTGTGACCTCGGTTCGCGAAGTTCGCGACCCTTTTCTTTGGGTCGAACCACATGTTTGCATATGCCTTTGCTACCCGTAGCCCCTTGTTCCTAGTAGTGCCAGGAGCTACTAGTAGCGTCCTTGCTCCTAGCTACTAGTAGCTTACTATTTCTGATTATGTATGTAAACAATTTGCATAAATACATATACATCAAACCACTCGAAGTTTGTCCACGCTGAGTTTTGAAGTGCCATAAGTGGTACCCCCCGGCAAACTAACATGGAACCCGAGAATTGACCCTTGGAAGATAATTTTCCTCTACAACCCAGTGGTTTTGGGGTTCCATGTTAATCTGCAGGAGAGTAAATGCCTGGTGCACTCTGCAGTGCTTGGAATCCGACGGTGTAAATTCTGCTCAAGGCTTGGGTACTCTCAGTTTCTAAATTAGTGTTCCGTATGTGATCTGCCTTGGACTCAATCAAGTCACACTGCTCGACTTTTATCAGATGTAATGTATGTTGTGATACTAGTCATACACAATCCATCCCCCAATGAGTTGCTGCCCACAGTGCCTGCACGCCTCCAGCAACTCCGACATCACCTTCATTGAACTCCTCAGTTCAATCGAGTGCCCGGGTCTCCTTGTCCACCAACCACTACGATGTCTTTCGCAAAAACAATTGAAGCTCACTGCACACCACCCGTTGCAGGCTGAAGGTTTGACAGGTAGTGAAATTAGGTGAGTGTACAAGCTGGTTGTGCTACGGTGCGACGGAACCCTAGTAGCTTCTTGTTCCTAGTAGCGATGCCAGGAGCCCGTAGAAGCGTCCTTGCTCCTAGTAGTAAGGCCAGGAGCCCCTAATAGCTTCTTGTTCCTAGTAGCGATGCCAGGAGCCTGTCTTCTGTGAACTGTCTAGGTGTTTGATGGCCTTCAATCACAGTACAGTATGGGCACAGCCAGCCAGGGCCGCATCTTCGAACCGAACAGCAGACGTGCTCAAGGAACATGTGGCAAGGATTGCAAGCACAAACAGCTGGTGCACAAGAGCCATCAGGAGCTTCTTAACAAAGGAACAACAAGCACCGGCCCCAAGCCAGCAGGAAGACTACACGATGTAAATGATTTAGACAAGGAGCCACACAGTGCGTTACAGCATGTTACAGCTATCTGTGTATGTGTGCGTGTGTGTACCCTTGGAATCATAGGGATCCTTTCGGATTGTTTTAGCTTCACAGTTGTTTTCCTTGTGCAGCAGGGGGCATGCGGCCATCACGCAAACGCATGCCAACGAAGCTATGCCAGCTATGCGTGATGGTGGAAGCCAAGTCTGATCAACCTGGTGTACCTGCTTTTGAGAACCTAAGTGTGGCAAAAGCTGTCTCATTCTTTGTTGTGCAGTAAGCGGCTAATGCACCTTGGAGTACTTGGACCTTCAAAGCCCCTCGTCGACCCGCCGTTTCGTGGCTTTCGACCTTGGCCTTTAACTACAGGCGCTCAGGCCCCCTTACCTGGCTTTTCAGGATTTGGTTTCTTAGGCTGGCGAGTGGCACCAGTACACCCTATCCTAAGTGTGTTTGGCCTTGTGCCAACCCGGGATGAGCCCGCAGAGCGCCTCCCGTGGACCCATTGAACGGGTGTACGTCGTTATCTCCCCTGCCCGGAGATGTAAATGCCCAGAGCGGGCGAAGGTGGCCTAGGCCGAGAGAACTCCGATTTTGTCCCACTTTAAGAATTCCAAGCTGGCTTATGCCTTTACGTTACCGTAGCGGTCAGAGGTGGCAGCCCTCGGGCAAGCCGTACGTGGTCGCAGCGACCGAAGTTTGTTCAAGGTTCATTGGAACCTGTCGCGAGCTTAGTCCCCTCTCCCCCTTCCCTTCCCCCTTTCTTTCTTTGCTTCCTGGGGTTTGCCTGAATGCAACACTCAAGATCACCCCTCTCTTTCTTTGGTGTGTCCCTGGACGCTTGTTCGTAGCTGGGAACACCTGCCTTTTTCTTTTTTCTCTCCTCTCCCTTTCTCTCCCTCTCTCTTTCTTTCTTTCCTTCTCTCTCTCCTTCCTCCCTCCTTGGGTGTCCCTGGATGCTTTTGTCATAGCTGGGAACCTTCTCCTCTCTTCCTTTGGCGTGTCCTTGGACGCAGGCGTCGTACTGGGAACACCTTCCTTTCTTTTCTTTCCTTTTTCTCGTCTCTCCCTACCCCTCCCTCTTGTCGGCACCTTAGCTTGGGACGCTACTAGGGGCTCCTGGCCTTCCTACTAGGTGTTAGGTGTTTCTTTGACGCTACTAGAGGTTCCTGGCCTTACCATTACTTGGGGACGAAGTACACGTCGTTGCCTCGTTGATTGGAATTCTTGACATGCTTGGAGACGAATTACAGCTGGTTGATTGGAATGCTTGCCCCTCCTTCCCTCCCTCTCTCTCTCTCCCTCCCTCTCTCTCGCTCGCTTTGCGCAAGCTAGCTTGGAGACAAAGTACACCTCGTTGATTAGAATTCTTGACATGCTTGGCTGACCCACCCCAGTCCCCGACCAACGACGAAGTGCACCTCGGAGACAAAGTTTACCTCGTTGATTGGAATTCTTGACATGCTTGTAGACTGATTGAAACGAAGTACACCTCGTTGATTGGAATTCTTCACATGCTTGGAGACGAAGTACACCTCGTTGATTGGAATTCTTGCCGCGCTTCCCCCTCCTTCTCTCTCTCTCTCTCTCTCTCTCTCTCTCTCTCCCGCTCGCTTTGCACAAGCTTGTTTGGAGACGAAGTACACCTCGTTGATTGAAATTCTTGACATGCTTGACTGACTCACCTCAGTCCTCGACCACCGACGAAGTATACCTCGTTGATTGGAACTCTTGACATGCTTGGAGACGAAGTACACCTCGTTGATTGGAATTTTTGACATGCTTGGAGACGAAGTACA